GAAAAAAAAAAAATGAAGATGTAACTCCTGACGAGCAACGAAGTGGTAAAATGTATTCCTTATTCACCTACTTAACGAAATGTGAAACCATTCACTGAATGCAGATACAATACGTTGTCATTTTATTCGGTTTGGCAATCAGCCGTTTAGATTAGTGGTTAAAGCGTCTGGGCGCGAATCCGGAAGAAGTGGGTTCGACTTCCGCAGCGGCGAAATAATTTTCGTGCTTTTTTCTACAAATTTTAATGTTCCATCTTGAGTGCAGAGATTTGCACAAAAAAAAAGAATCCAGAAATCTGTTATCAACGTCACTGGCATTTGAATCAACCATAATGGATCGCGAGAAAATTTATTGAGCCAGATCAGCCCTGCTGTGGGACAATTACATAAATTTCTATAATCACCCGCCTGCGATCTTGAACCGTAAGCCACAGACTTCTCCTAAGATTCCATGGGTTCGTCCACTTTGATTTCCTACTTTTCGATATCTCAAAAATGGTGATAGTTTTACTAAGGTTATATTATGTCCGTTTCAAGAACCATCAATCTATATTCCCCTTCAGTTTATTGCGCCAATTTCAAGACACATTGTATAACACATTAATTATTTATTTATTTAAGATAAATAAATAAATAACACATTAATAAAAATTAATATTTTATATTGCAGTCCATCAATCACCATAAGGACTATGTCCTAAGACAGAACAGCTCCAATTTTTTTTCCGTAACTTTTATAACTATATGACATCATTCACCACAAGCCTCCTAATATTGATACTCGTTTTAAAAATGATAATTTCAAAAAAAAAAACTTTTTTTCGAAGGCGAGAGGAAGCGTTCTATTCCTCAAGTATCTCAGCGATTGGAAACGTATTTTGTGTCAGCAGATTTTTTGTTCTTGGGTCTAGTCCCAGTGGAGTTTTATCCATTTAACCAGAAATTTTGTGACTAAGGAAAATTTCAAGAAATTTTAACACGTAGCTTTTAATATAACGCAATTTATCAGGACTAAAGTTTGTCTGGAAGAAATTAAATAATAATATTTTTCTTATTCCATCTTTTATAAATGTTATGATTTACCTTCGGTTGAAATATTTGTATAACATCAAAACAGACTTTGGCACATTTATTTTTATCCAAATAGGGTTTATTCCATTATTTTCGTTTTAAATAAACGGATGCTGAATCACCAACGCTTCTCAACTTGAAATGATTATTTTAAGCGATTCACACAAAAAATGTAACGTAAACAAGGAGCAAAAAGTGTTAAATCCAGGCTTCCGTTAATATCGCCGAGCAAGAAATATTCACGAAAGCCGGATAAAGGCTTCCAACGTGTTGTGACACGAAATTGAATACGGGCTTTAGCGGCGTCTGGAGCCTCGCTGCCGTTTGATCTCGCCCAGCGAATTAATTCAGACGTTTTTAGCGTGTAAGGTACAACGTTGAACAGGCCATAATTATGAAAAAAAGACGCGGAAAGATCAGTACACAGTAGCCGTTGAAACATAGAAGTTTTGTATTGTCCATTTTGTATTTGTGTGTTGAAGGGTTCGGGAAGTAACTTCCCGACGACCAGTTCGACCTAGAAAGATCTATTGTAGTCTCCCCTTAAAAGAAATTGCCCTTTATTGTAGTATAATATTATCCTACGTTGAAGGGAGGATATTTATTACAACGTTGGTAATGGCGACTTGAAAATTAGGTGGTTCGTACAGTACGTTTCTCAGTTGAGAGGTAGATATGCGTTATTAACAAAAAGAATATTCAAATTGAAATATCTTTATTCAATATAGTATACTACACTTACTTACTGGTTGCCATAAACACTACTATCGGTTCTGAAAAAAGCCACTGACCTAAGACGAAATGTATATTCAAACAAATGCCATTATTCTGTGTCATTAAGATCTTAGTCCCTGGCGGGAATCGGACCTGGCTGCTTCATTGGATACTAGCTTAATAACTACACAAGTCAGCTTTATAAGTAACTAGGGGACCCGACAGATTTCGTGTGTACACACGACTTAAATGCGACATCTTATAAATAAAAGACAATAAAAAAAAGTTGTAGTATCCCGAATCTAAACCATCCTTGAATCGACTTGAAGACACAAAAAATTTCATTATAGTCGGTTATGCTGTTAGGAGGAGTTCAGTGACGAACAAGTTCAGAAGAATTATATACATCAAGATAGTGCGGAGCACAAGCTGTGCATGTTTTTGTATAGTCAAGTTTTTCAGCATTATCTAAGAAATTAAATCTTTACTTTAACATTTTCTGTCAAAACCTATATAATTCGAAAGAGAAGTCAGCATTGCTATATGAAATTTAATATTTTATAGTGCTAATCTCTGCACATAAAACTTAACCCACGTCTTTTGGATTCTAGGCGTGAATTCTGAAGTAGTGGACTCGATTCTCGCCTCGGCGAGAAACTTTTCGTCGATTTTAGGGTTCCGTACTCAAAGGATAAAGCGGGACCCTATTAATAAGACTCCGCTGTCTGTCTGTCTGTCTGTCCGTCAGTCACCAGTCTGTATCGCATGAACCGTTATAGTTAGACAGTTGAAATTTTCACAGATGATGTATTTCTGTTGCCCCTATAACAAAATATATTAAAAAATAGAATGAAAAATTGTAAGTGGGAGCCGTCCCATAAAACAGACATGATTTTTTGGCCGTTTTTATAGATAATGGTACGGAGCCTTCGTGCACGAGTCCAACTCGCACTTGGCAGGGATTTTTATAAAAATTTTAAAGATTTATACTCTATATGATAATACAGGCAAGAACAACTTAATATAAGCTTGTTCAAAAAATTGTTTTAACAACTGCGTCCGTAAAGACTAATGGAACAAACAACATTAAGAAACTTTCTTAACAATACGGGTCTTTTGTTTGTTTGTTTTTTTTTTGTCTCTGAAGTAGATTGTTCGAGATTTTCGTAATATTTCCATACATTTTGTACACATTTCACGTGAATAAAATAAATTTCTTAGCCTTTTGCAATTTTCATAAGATTTTGCAACTGTAAACCTTTACTGTACCTACATTAAAACTTCTCAACTTTTCAGCAGCGTAGTTTTTCAATTGAGAAAAAACATGCAATATAATATAAGCTCCAATAACATTACTAAGTTATCTTTAGCGTTCTAAGGTTGAACAATTTAGAAAAATGAATAAATTGCGAATGATAAAGTTACGATTTGTTCGGCAGACCTATCTGATATCTTTACTTGTAAGAAAAATAAGTATACAATACCAAAGAGAAATCTTGCAGTGACAAGAACTTTACAAATGTTTATAACCGAATTTTTCTTTAATTGGACATTCGACGTCACATATTCGACGATTTGTAGTTGAAAAAAATCCTTTCTTAGTTAAAAAAAATTGTCTGAACACCGCACTTTGACAGAACCGATACGTTTACAGACAATTAAATTTCTTTCCGGATCCCTAAATTCGGAACTTGGAATCCGGCGCTAACGGCGTGCAGGCTACGCGAATGAATATAATTTATATAAGAGTTCTAACGTTTTTACCTTGATCCTAATATTTTAACTATTACTGAACTTGAATATACAACTATTATAACGACAAGCAGCAATAGTGGTTATATCACCGTCCGGGAACGCAGTCGAAATCCAAGTGACAACCGCTCCACGCGACCATGTGTCCCTTAGCTCGAGTAGAAACGTCATATCCGGTAAACAGTGTTGTCAGCGCCAACATTTATAGAATATTTTTATTAGATAAGGTAAGGGTGCATTTAGATGCAAGGTTTCATTACATATAATTTTTGTTTAATATATTAAGGCCTCCCACAAGACGGCCACGAATCACGATCCTGAGCCACCTGCATCCATCGTCTTTGCGCACAACACTGTTCTTACTGTAGGATAATAATTATTATCCTGCATCGTAATGGCATTTTACTCCAGACACAATTCCCTCTTAGCCCATGGATTGTTAAAGCTACATATTGTAGGTGTCTTTTGAGAACTGCTCTTAGTTTGTGTTCGGGGCACATTCCTTCAAACAATTTTAAGTCTAAACAAATCTAATTTTTAGTAACGAAAAACTAAACAGACTTCAAATATCTCAATATTTAATTTTCAGGATTTCCCCCATACCAAGATCCAATACCAATTTAATTATTATGGGACCACATGGGAAGCACCAGCTTTCACATAAAAAATAATAATCAAAATCAATTCATCGAGTCGAAAGTTCTGAGGTAACAAACACAAAAAAAAAATACAGTCGTATTGAGAATCTAGTCCTGTTTTGAAGTCGATCGATGAAGAAAGTAACATGTCCAAACTGTGATGTATGTGAAATTGTTGGTGACGTTCAACACATTTTGATGGATCACGCACGCGCTGTCTATAGTACCCAACCGCTAACCGCCACCCCTCTGTCATGGGCAGAATCAGAAAATTTATCTATTTAAGACTGTCTTTATCCTACGTCCACTGTAGATACGAAGCGCTACTCGAATATGTGACAGCTAATCTGCATTACTTCAAGTACATGAGACACACATACACATACTCAATAATACGTATGCACAATAATATAGAAAATTCATAAATACAGAGGAGAATTATTATAATTAATTTGTTACTTACTTTGAACGTCCTAAAGCCTATTATTGATTATTTTTTTCTAGCGAAATTACAGTTGAAATACGCCCTTTAGTTTTTTCTTTAATTAGAACAATATCAATAAGTACTAAGTACTACATGTCTTATTGCAGTTAGTTCTACTTTGTGACGGTATATATACACAGAGAGGCTATTTTTTAAATGTGTTTATATTTACTGTGACCAATAACAAATTTTTGCCATTTACTAATAATTCTAAGTTATTTAAACATAACGGTATTAGTTGCATTTAATGTCCTTACGCTAAAGAAGTATAACTTATTACGTGCGTACATAAATAAACACTTACTACATTTTTATGTATATTGATATATTTAGGAACTCACCCATTGCGAAAAGGATGAAGAGGGCTGATACCACCCAGGAGCACATATTGTATGAACAATGTCTCTTACAGGATTACATCCCATCCACCTTCCCTCACATCACATTTGTAGAGTTTCATGTACCTGAAATAGAAAAATATTATGAAATCTCGGGTAAGCGTTTACACAACTTACATTAACATTTTGCAGCCGCAACAGTCCTCGCTGTTGCACGAATGGGCAGGTCCATCCGTGGACCACAACCTTATAGAAGATGGTACACTTCTGCGTTTCGTGTGGGGAATGAGGTAACCGGGGGCCACTTTATTAAAAGGAAACAGCGCTACTGCATCCTTACGGGTGTTGCACATGTCCATGGGCAGTGGATATCACTTAACAGCTTCCCGCATACAGAAAAAGCAGAGATCAGCACTTTTCCTATCTTTCGCCAATGTACAGTCGTTTGAATGTTTCAAACTCTATTAAAAAAAACATCTTTCTCCGTCGCCGAACGAAATAATAAGCCCCGTAGAACGGTAATAAATAAATGAAACGATCATGTTCAAGTTATTATTACGTGAAAAGTAAATTAAAAACTCTGTCATCTCATTAAACTTTTCCGAACCTTATCCTCGAATATCATTAAGTATAAAAAATTCCTGGAACAATTAAAACATGTAGAAAAAGTACGAAAAGATTGTCGCCGCTGTGGGAATCGAACCCACGTCTTCGGCATTCGCGGCCTGACGCTCTAGCCACTGAGCTAAACGGCTGATAGCCACAGTGACGAAAATCTTAACGCCTTCTTTCCACATTGTTATTTAGCATTTGAAGCAATGCTTGGGGCATCTATTGTTATATCCTTTCCAGCATACAAACAATCTCGAATATCGTTTTACAACGATAATTCGAACGAGAGATGTCGCCATTGCTTTTTATAAATTTTAAAGTTTTTTATAGTGCTAATCTCTGCACTTAAGATTGAACATTAAAACATGTAGAAAAAGTACGAAAAGATTGTCGCCGCTGTGGGAATCGAACCCACGTCTTCGGCATTCGCGGCCTGACGCTCTAGCCACTGAGCTAAAAACGGCTGATAGCCACAGTGACGAAAATCTTAACGCCTTCTTTCCACATTGTTATTTAGCATTTGAAGCAATGCTGGCGCATCTATTGTTATATCCTTTCCAGCATACAAACAATCTCGAATATCGTTTTACAACGATAATTCGAACGAGAGATGTCGCCATTGCTTTTTATAAATTTTAAAGTTTTTTATAGTGCTAATCTCTGCACTTAAGATTGAACATTAAAACATGTAGAAAAAGTACGAAAGATTGTCGCCGCTGTGGGAATCGAACCCACGTCTTCGGCATTCGCGGCCTGACGCTCTAGCCACTGAGCTAAACGGCTGATAGCCACAGTGACGAAAATCTTAACGCCTTCTTTCCACATTGTTATTTAGCATTTGAAGCAATGCTTGGGGCATCTATTGTTATATCCTTTCCAGCATACAAACAATCTCGAATATCGTTTTACAACGATAATTCGAACGAGAGATGTCGCCATTGCTTTTTATAAATTTTAAAGTTTTTTATAGTGCTAATCTCTGCACTTAAGATTGAACATTAAAACATGTAGAAAAAGTACGAAAAGATTGTCGCCGCTGTGGGAATCGAACCCACGTCTTCGGCATTCGCGGCCTGACGCTCTAGCCACTGAGCTAAACGGCTGATAGCCACAGTGACGAAAATCTTAACGCCTTCTTTCCACATTGTTATTTAGCATTTGAAGCAATGCTTGGGGCATCTATTGTTATATCCTTTCCAGCATACAAACAATCTCGAATATCGTTTTACAACGATAATTCGAACGAGAGATGTCGCCATTGCTTTTTATAAATTTTAAAGTTTTTTATAGTGCTAATCTCTGCACTTAAGATTGAACATTAAAACATGTAGAAAAAGTACGAAAAGATTGTCGCCGCTGTGGGAATCGAACCCACGTCTTCGGCATTCGCGGCCTGACGCTCTAGCCACTGAGCTAAACGGCTGATAGCCACAGTGACGAAAATCTTAACGCCTTCTTTCCACATTGTTATTTAGCATTTGAAGCAATGCTTGGGGCATCTATTGTTATATCCTTTCCAGCATACAAACAATCTCGAATATCGTTTTACAACGATAATTCGAACGAGAGATGTCGCCATTGCTTTTTATAAATTTTAAAGTTTTTTATAGTGCTAATCTCTGCACTTAAGATTGAACATTAAAACATGTAGAAAAAGTACGAAAAGATTGTCGCCGCTGTGGGAATCGAACCCACGTCTTCGGCATTCGCGGCCTGACGCTCTAGCCACTGAGCTAAACGGCTGATAGCCACAGTGACGAAAATCTTAACGCCTTCTTTCCACATTGTTATTTAGCATTTGAAGCAATGCTTGGGGCATCTATTGTTATATCCTTTCCAGCATACAAACAATCTCGAATATCGTTTTACAACGATAATTCGAACGAGAGATGTCGCCATTGCTTTTTATAAATTTTAAAGTTTTTTATAGTGCTAATCTCTGCACTTAAGATTGAACATTAAAACATGTAGAAAAAGTACGAAAAGATTGTCGCCGCTGTGGGAATCGAACCCACGTCTTCGGCATTCGCGGCCTGACGCTCTAGCCACTGAGCTAAACGGCTGATAGCCACAGTGACGAAAATCTTAACGCCTGTGGAAAGAAGGCGTTAAGCCGTAGAGCGTCAGGCCGCGAATGCCGAAGACGTGGGTTCGATTCCCACAGCGGCGACAATCTTTTCGTACTTTTTCTACATGTTTTAATGTTCAATCTTAAGTGCAGAGATTAGCACTATAAAAAACTTTAAATTTATAAAAAGCAATGGCGACATCTCTCGTTCGAATTATCGTTGTAAAACGATATTCGAGATTGTTTGTATGCTGGAAAGGATATAACAATAGATTGCCCCAAGCATTGCTTCAAATGCTAAATAACAATGTGGAAAGAAGGCGTTAAGATTTTCGTCACTGTGGCTATCAGCCGTTTAGCTCAGTGGCTAGAGCGTCAGGCCGCGAATGCCGAAGACGTGGGTTCGATTCCCACAGCGGCGACAATCTTTTCGTACTTTTTCTACATGTTTTAATGTTCAATCTTAAGTGCAGAGATTAGCACTATAAAAAACTTTAAAATTTATAAAAAGCAATGGCGACATCTCTCGTTCGAATTATCGTTGTAAAACGATATTCGAGATTGTTTGTATGCTGGAACGGATAAACAATAGATGCCCCAAGCATTGCTTCAAATGCTAAATAACAATGTGGAAAGAAGGCGTTAAGATTTTCGTCACTGTGGCTATCAGCCGTTTAGCTCAGTGGCTAGAGCGTCAGGCCGCGAATGCCGAAGACGTGGGTTCGATTCCCACAGCGGCGACAATCTTTTCGTACTTTTTCTACATGTTTTAATGTTCAATCTTAAGTGCAGAGATTAGCACTATAAAAAACTTTAAAATTTATAAAAAAAGCAATGGCGACATCTCTCGTTCGAATTATCGTTGTAAAACGATATTCGAATTGTTTGTATGCTGGAAAGGATATAACAATAGATGCCCCAAGCATTGCTTCAAATGCTAAATAACAATGTGGAAAGAAGGCGTTAAGATTTTCGTCACTGTGGCTATCAGCCGTTTAGCTCAGTGGCTAGAGCGTCAGGCCGCGAATGCCGAAGACGTGGGTTCGATTCCCACAGCGGCGACAATCTTTTCGTACTTTTTCTACATGTTTTAATGTTCAATCTTAAGTGCAGAGATTAGCACTATAAAAAACTTTAAAATTTATAAAAAGCAATGGCGACATCTCTCGTTCGAATTATCGTTGTAAAACGATATTCGAGATTGTTTGTATGCTGGAAAGGATATAACAATAGATGCCCCAAGCATTGCTTCAAATGCTAAATAACAATGTGGAAAGAAGGCGTTAAGATTTTCGTCACTGTGGCTATCAGCCGTTTAGCTCAGTGGCTAGAGCGTCAGGCCGCGAATGCCGAAGACGTGGGTTCGATTCCCACAGCGGCGACAATCTTTTCGTACTTTTTCTACATGTTTTAATGTTCAATCTTAAGTGCAGAGATTAGCACTATAAAAAACTTTAAAATTCCTGGAACAATTTAACGCTCGAACATAATTAAAGGAAACAAATAGGGTGGATTGGAGCTGGCAACAACAGCAGCCAATAGCTCCAGTGGTAATGAACCACACAAAAGGGGTACACAATGAAGGCCAATTTGATTTCTTCGCAACTGTGTGTCACAAGACAGCCCTGGGATCGCTCGCGGCTCCGCCGCATAAACTAGCAAGTTGTAAAACACCCAAGAAGTGAAATTAAAGCCACCCTTATCCGCTACGAGTTCACGGGCCGCCATTTATCAACGCTGGAAAGACGCGTAGGGAAGTTTCACGCTCCAAAAGGTCCGCATCCCGTTCTGTGTCGATTTTAATTGCTCCCCGTGAAACGAAATCATGTTATTGCGCTAACCCACTTCCGTCGAAACTGGCATTCGGAGAGTCTTCACTACGAGATTTCATGCCTACACACATTTATTTATTTATATCTTACTAGCTTTTCGCCCGCGGCTTCGCTCGCGTTGAAGCCCTTAAATAAATATCTTTCCCCTTTAAGAACCCTTTATAACCTTATATCATAGGTGTATGAATCACAAATAAACACAGGATGAAGGCATTTATACATCAAGGAAAAATAGGAAAACGAAAAATAAAAGCATGAGTTCACAGTTCAACTTTTACTAGGTTTTTAAAAGAAAGGAGAGGCTTTGTCGAATGATTGGGGACAAGGAATTCAACAACGCACAGGTGTCACTGTAAAATATTTTTTCAAGAAGGAAGAGGAATTTAAAGGAGTTTGGAGGGAGAGATTGACAGAAGAACGAAGGAAACTGTTATGGGAGACGGAAACATCTTCCCTAATATTTCATTTTATAATCTCTAATGCCGTTGTAGCCTTTAAACGGTTTTCAATAAAATCGCAGAAGCCGCGATTGGCTGGCAAACTGCACTAGTATAAACGATTTTAATGTTGATAAACTCTTCTTGTGTTTAGTTATCAGAGGTTTTTGAAGTGAA